TAGCATGGCGGTTTTGCGGGAGCAACTGAGTGGCGAAGCCGCAAAAACGTGCGAACGAGCGGCGAAGCCGCGCCCGCCCCAATCTCCTCGCGGTTTCTCTTCCCTCGCCCGCCTTTATTAGGGGGCTTTAGCAACGACGACGGCGACGGCAAATAGGACGTGAGAAAAGCAATAGGTTTATTACGCAAAACAACAACTTTGCACGTGCATCACGCTTTTTTGTACATTTCTTTACCGTCCTTGCACGACTACAACGTGAAAATGCCTAATTTCAAGTTTTATGGAGGACGTAAACAAGAAACGACGAATCTCTTTTTCTCTCTCTAAACTTGAGTGCGGTCCTCAAGAAATCAACTCCAGGGAAATTCGCCTACACTTGCCTTTTTCAGCAAATTGGAACAAACGCGACAAAGGTTGAAAAAACGGGAATTCATTTTGAAACTGACGTTTTCGCTGCAGTTACCGTCGTCGACACTAAAGCTCCCTATTACTTTGCGCGCCCAGCCCAAACCCCACCAAAACCACCATGCTACGCAGCTGGCTATTTTACATGATTTTGAGTTCTGACCGGCGGTACGGTGCTGTAAGTTTTTCCTGGTCACTTACCAGTCTTTGTGACTCGTGCTCTTGTGCCGCTCTCTCATAACTGTTCTCCATTTCCTGATGCTGTGTTCTCCTTTCCTTCATGGCTTCTATTCGTTCGTGTTTCCATGTCTCCGCCTTTTCCTGTCTATCTCGTTCCTTCTGACAAACCTTTTCGCTCGACTGTCTTTTGCTTTCCATTCTCTCGCCTTCTCGACGCGCTTTCTCAGCAGAATGTTCGACGAGCTGACGGTGGCGTTCATCAACCATTTTTCTGAAAAACAGCGCAGAGACGGTCAAATCATATTATAATTTCTTACGGTACATTTAGTTATGCCAGAAGCATTATCTGGTGATGCCTAGTAATTGAGCGAGCCGTAAGACCGGCGGTGCAAAATTACATGAATACAAAAGCCGCAAAAGCTCAAAGCACCCATAGGCTGTTCCCTTGCACACTTTATTCTCGTCAGTTTATTTCTGTTTTCCTTGGGTGCCAAAGACTTTTCATGCGCGGTTTGCGGGTTAAAAAGTCTTTCTGATGACCCGCGCTTGCCTTCGACCTTCGGCCGATGATCTGTCGACCGAAAGCCGATAAATATAACAAAAAGATTCCACTGCACGCGAGAAAAAAAACAAACAAAAACCAACAACACAAACAAACAAACCTCTGGTCCCCAAGGTGACACATTATATAAGCTTACATGACAAAAAGTTCAAACCATAGCTTATTAAGCGTTTTCAAAGAATACCTTTAAGGATGGTCCCAACGAGTCCGGATAATCGAGGTTTGGACTGTACCTTTACGTTAAAAGATACTCAGCAAAGTGAATTTAGATCTCACTAACCTGTGATAATCTTGTCTAGCTTGCTCTTTCTGTCGTTTCTCCGCTGAATCTCGAGCTATTTTAGCATGATACTTCTCGTTCGCGTCTCTTTTAGTTTCCAGTCTTTGCCTTTCTTTTCTATTTTTCTCCATATCTCCCAGGCCCAGGCCATCCTCCCAATTGGAAGACCGTTGAGCATTGGTACCAGCGTGTTCGGGGTGCCAGTTCCCATCAGATCCAGTGTTAAACTTGTTATCTGGAAATTGATATTTGGAAAAAACTCATTTATAGAACAGTCGAACGTTAGCAGGAACGTTTTGTTTTTATCTTCTAAATCGAGTTTTAAGTACTATGATAATGCAGAAATGGGATGAATACAGACATGTTTGATGTTAAACCATGAATTCAAGGCACACGCTCTACTTAAAAAATTGTTCCAGGAAATACTTTAGCTTTATATACTCCTCCACATAGAGTTTTATTCATTTGGCTTGAACCCCTCTCTCCACTCTGGAAAATCCAGTTTAGTATAACGCTTTTATTTCAAAATGTTTGGATTTACTTTTTCGGACCCTGGCTACCTCTACCAGCCTGGAATTTGCAATATCCCTGGATATTTTATGGAATCACTTAATACTGGCCTAAAAATGATCGCTCAATAAGCCAAGTAGAACTTTTTTATTTATTGTGAGACCTAAGACTTGAAATGTTGTGGAGTAAGATGCAAAGACAACTACGAAATCAGTGATCTAAAAATGATGAAGATACTTGGAAGTTGCCAGTAGTGGGCGTGGCTTTGAATAATTCGTAACGTCTCATTTTCACAGGGTTGGCGAGCCCCTACCCAAAAGAGGCAAGGTGTAGGTAGCTGTAGGAGCTGTAGTTCATAATACCTGTAGCTGCTGGAAATGGAACTCCTTTAGATGACTGATATTCATGATGCTTTAGTTGTGGCGGTCCAGATCTTGTGGCAGTGTTTGCTGGGTGGTTCCACTGATGATGGGGATGCCATTCTCCATCCTGAAATTTTTTGTCTGGAAGGGAGGTGTTAGATCCATAGATGATATTTATTTATTTATCAAATTTAAGAATAAATGCACACTGCAGACACTATAATGACTGGTACTGGTCATAAACATCATGTACACATACAAAATTACATCATTCCTCTAGATATCAACCGACCACCACCACAATATTAATTAGTCGTATCTTATCCTTGAACTGGGGAGGTAAAATGCTTCAAAAAGCAAATCAACGTAGTAAAGACTGTAAAGGCATTAAACATCATTACAACGAGTTACAAATGAATCCTGATGATTAACAACAATTTTTATAGATTTTGTGGCACAAAACTTCGAAAACCTGAGGCAGAAATAGACCAAATCAAGTTGACAAATTTATTACTTCCAAGAGTTTAAGATTTGATGAAACCCCGGTCACCATTCACTGCTAAAACATCTGATTACCCATGCCAGTAACTTAAGATATGGTAGTTTACATATTAAAAAACATTGTATTAATACCATATATAGAGCCATAGGTACTTGAGAAATATAAAATACAAGTACATCTTAAAGCATACAAAGTTAATATTATTACCTGCGCTAGGTGGGAAAGGAACTCCTGCAACAGTCTGATATTCCTGGTGTCTTGGACGCTGATACTTATCATCTCGTACCTCTGCTGGTTTTGCCAGAGCTGTATCTCTGAATCTTGGTGGGCGTGGAGGGACACCCGAACTCCACCAACGCCAGCGTTTCTTGTTCTCTGGTTTTCCCCCAGCTTTAGGAAGTGGTGTCCCAACAGGTATGACTGGTTCTGTGTATCGTCTGAAATCTGTGAATAAATTCAAAAATGAAGAAAATAAAACTAATAAGGTGTTGAAATGACCATCAGGCTAGGATGGTTAAAGCAGTTATCCTGTTTTTCTTTTTTTATTGTTTGGAAGCACCACACAAAAGCTGTACTGTTTGTAGTGGCATAAATAAATTCATAAGCATGAATAAGTTCAAGAAGTTTCAATGACTTTTAAGTCTGGCATCCAAGAAGTGAAAGTAGAACAAAAAACCAAGACAATTTAGAAGGACCTCTGCATGCACTGCCATTTATAATAGCCACCTTTCTAATGAAATCACTGGCCGACATACAATGTAATCTAACTCAATGTCAGTTTTTTATGTTTTTTTTATGCTTACAGTGTACATTTCAGTGAGACAAAGTGGAGATTTATGGGTCTATGTCACTTTTAGATCACGCACTCACCTAGGTCTTCAGTTCCGACACCAACATCAAATGTTTCAGGCTCTTTACTTTCTTGTTCATACTCCTCAGCTGTGTCTAATTCCTGATCCATACTGGTATCTGAGTGATATCCATCAGGGTCTTTATTTTCATGAAAGTTTACCCTCTCTAGCAGATGTCTGTTTCTCTCAATCTGTGATTTAATTTTAGAGGTGAGTTCCTCTTTGGAATCATTCTTGTGAAGGTGCTGTTTAGTATGCCGAGGAGGGCTGAATGGTCGTTGCCACGTTGTGTGCAGAGGAGGAGGCCTTCCTTGGTATGGTGGAGGTGATGTGTCAGCAGCAAGACGAATCTTTCTTCTCTGTGACTCTGGCAGCTGAAGCTCAGTAACAATGCGATCAAACACTGCAAGTGGTATTCTCACTGCTACTCCTGGGGACAGCTGCTCTGTTTGGCCATTATAAAAGGCTACAAGAAGATCACCCCCTTCATAACCTAAAATCGGTTAGACAGTGTTGAGATGGGTCTATCAAGAATTTAATTGCAAAACAGGAGATTCAGTTAGCATGTACCACTGTTTAGTAAGAAGCATTAAGAGCTTTACATGCTCTGGTTGGCCAGCATATTTCATTTCAATAAAAGACCATAATAAAATATGTTCAAGATTTAACAATTTTAATTTATAAGGAAAAAGCATAATAATCAGTCAACTTGGGGCTACAAAAAACCCACAGACTATTTTCTTCAGTACTGGAAAGCGATGCACAAATTTTTTACACACATGAAATATATTACTTCTTTCCAAAATTACAGCCTTACAGTAACAACATGAATCTCATTGCACAGGAAACAAGATATGCCTGGTGACATACTTTTGAGCAGCTCATTTCTCTAAGACCCAAAATAAGTGGGATTCAAAACATCCCACAATAATGGTCAAGTTCTAACCACTACTGGTAACCTTAGCAACTGTACCAGGACTGTCCCTATAATTTGAAGTTGGTTCCGCAGGTATATGCATTTAATAGGTGGGGAATTGAACAGTTACATAGGTGGGAAGTTCCTTTTGCTTCCAATGGAATAATGCCATGGGTCATAGTCAATGATAGTAGCCTGGGAAATCCCGGGCTCTGGGCCCTACACTGTAAGGGACAGCCCTGTGTTCACGGAAATGTATCCTTAAACTTGGCCATTTGCTTGATTCATGCATAGCTTACCCTGTGGCTGGACATCCCTGCGGTCCACTCCATCAAGGACGGTCCCAGGTCCATAACGTCCATCATTTTGCCAAGGGGCAAGGACTTTGTCTCCAATGCACACATGGTGTCTTATGGCATCTTTGTAAGCAACCACATCGAATAGTGCTACTTCTTGCAGGTGTGGCTTGCGTAGAGCGGGACACTGATCAAATTCCACTACGAATGTACCGTTTTCTCCCTGTGTAAAGAAAATAATGAAAGAGGATTACAACTGAAAACATTGATGAAAGTTACACCACAGGACAAGTGGTAAAAGCACCTCAAGAAATCTAACCACGTAGTAGTGTCAATAATTTCTTAGATACTGTAGATACCCTTACCAGAACAAAGAGACAGAATATTTGCGGCTGGTCAGCAATCTAGTGCCTAACCCCACCCAGCAGGGCTTAACTTTGGTGGCCCTATTCTCTTTATAGAGATTCATGAGACACCTATCTCTAGTTAATAACAAATAGACCTCAACAAAACAAAATCAATAATTATTGATTTTATTGTTTGTATACTGTACCTGTTTTTTGACAGTTGCCATGTAAAATAGACCATCAGAATCTTTCCGTGCCAACACCTTCATCCCTTTCATTATACTTGCTGCAACTGGGACACTGGTACTTCCCACAGATTTTTCACTGTCTTTAGAAAGCCCTCGAGATGCCAATACTGCGTCAGCATATTGCAAAACTTTTGATGTTCCCCGCTCTTGATCAAACTTGCTCCATGAGACATAAGGAATAGGGACAGCTCCATGGGGTGCCCTGAGGAGGGTGACAGGTGTCCCGGGATCGTATAGTCTAGGGACGGGATCATAAACCCTCGGGACAAATCCCGAGGCTGGAGGCGCAGAGGTCGGACGTTCTAGTCGTTCTAGAGAAGTGTCAGTTGCCTTAAACAAGTTCGAGGGGTTCGGCGATAAGAATTCGCCGTCATAATGCCGCATGAATTCTGTCTTGTGATTAAATATTGGCGTTACTCTTTGAATCCGTCCGTACAGCGTAAGGCTTATGGTGTGGAAAGAACCCTTGGTGATTTTAGCCAGTTCTTCCAGGAATTCCTTAGCCGCTGGATCAGAGTGTGTTCCAGTGAGATAAATCGCGTGTATAGGTCGTCCTTTGTGAAGGCGACGGACATTTTCCACGATGACTGTGGGAGTTTGGTCGGGCAAGCCATCGGTGACCAAATAAATCGCGTCCATTCCGTCATCTTCGTACGCCTCGATCAAAGCTTCCATTGTGTTTGTAGACGTTCCACAGGTCAATTTGTGAATCCATTCGCTAGCAACACTGACGGTGCGAGGTGTACAAGCTACTAACCTGTCAGCCCATTTGTTAACTTCTTCGTTGAATTCGATAATGTTGAACATCGTGTCTCTTCCGGAAATCGCGCGCGCGAACAGTATTTCAAGCAAGTGTTCTCTAACAACGTCGAGACTGTGGTACATAGAGCCCGAAGTATCGAGCAGAAAAACGACATTCTTCTCGTACACATTTCCAAAGATCGTGGGCCTTCCTCGAAGAGGGGCGACTTGCTGTCCATAAGAAGGGCTTACCATTTTCTAATCGAACGTTTGATAAAGTCAATTACATTTAGATGTCTGCAGTTTGCGCGTGCCGGACTTGTTTTGTTGCCATGCAGTCTCTAGGGCAGGAGCGAAAAACCGCTGACATTCACCCAGTGACAAAATTTGCTTAGTGGGGAGGAGGCCAGCTCCATGGCATTTATAGTAACAAAGATTAGCAAAAGAGCACGATATTTGTCTAAAAAAGTTCAACATACATCAACTTACAAAAAGTAATTAATAAGGTAAAGGATACGTGAATATTAGTGGTAATTCTTAGTTTCAAAGTCATTTCGTTTTTCTTGTTCTTACCCCCTCCCTACAAGGGAGGGCTTAGTTCCCGCGTCGTTGGCGCGTACAAAGGGCAACGTGGGCACTAACAACAACGGTTCAACCGAAGAACTCTGCCCCCAAAAAAGCTGACTAGGATAGATATCATGCCCCTAAAGGTTAGTGAATTAAGTAATATCTTTAACATCTCCGATATAGAATTGAGCGGCGTTTAAATCTGTTTACCAGCTGTACGATTACAACTGAGAGATGGCGCCCTTGGTTGTTTGGTCAAAAAGCTTACCGACCTTACCTAGCATTTATTAAGACCGTGGCATCTAGCAAATCGCGTCTTATCGCCAGCTGTTCTTATTAGTTCGACTGACTGCAATTTTGTTGACATCTGACCATCATGATCACACTTCAACCAACTACAAACTTTAATAGAAATCTTGCTGACTTGCAAAGACACCATTCGCAACAGCAACGTATAGTTGTATGACTACTTGCAAATTAATTGCAAGCTGGTAACTTAAGTTATATGTATATGTAATCAAATGGTGACGAGTGAAATTAGGGAATAATTTCACCTTCGTTTTGTCCAAATCCTAATAATCTCCCTCGCCTTTACGAGTATACCATTTGATTACCTATTAATATCATGGTTGACGAATTACGCGAGGAATCGAGGATTTTTGACTTGTTTATCCTGAAAGCATCGATTGATCGTGAACTCCACTCTCTGAAATGTTTAGAGCTAAAATTTGGCTTAAGTTTTCAGAATTTTTCGACAACATACCTCTAAGAATCCTTCTTGAAGTGCTCTTTCGTGTGTCCAGGTTTTCTAAAGCGTCTTTTTATGCCCTGACATCTTCATTCATGACATTTTAAACCTTCGTCGCCATCTTGAAATGGAGACGTACGGCAGGTTGCCATGGCAATTTAGTAATTTCACATGTGAAATTACAAATTGACGCTGAAATTTCACGCCAAAATTAAGGAGTAATTCATCACCTATGATATTAACATGTAAATTCCAACCTCGACCACCCAAAATGCAAAGATTAAAATAATGGTCGCTTACAGGAGGTGGTCTTCGCGACTGCATACATCCCAGCCTTCCTATAAATCCTATTTTTTCTATTTGTTTTATAGGATCCTATAAAACTCCTATAATTGGCCAAAATCTCCTATATTTCCTACAATTACCGTTTATGTGAAAAATTAGATTCATTTCAAAACAAAGTAAAAACTCAATAAACACTTTCCTATCACAGTTCAGCAATCCAAAATCCAAGAAAATATCATGAATTATGCCAATGTGAAAGACTTGAAACTCAGTGACTCAGAAATTTACTGGATACTTCTGTACTTTTATTTCGGACTTGAAGGTCACCACAGAAATGGATTTTTCATGATTGTATCTATGCAACTGGTTTTCGTAAAGATCCTTTAGTCTTTTAGGTACTCTTCAAGTTGGGAACCCACCTTTATTCTGTTAACAACGGTTGAAGCAGTCTTAATGCTGTTGTTGTTTAAAACCTTGTTTGTGCTGGACGTTGATGAGAATATAGTGGATGCATGAAGCTAGGGTTCATAGATGTATTCAGGTGTTAATGTTTCTCTTTCAAACTATGTCAGCTCTTGGATATGCATCTTGTGATGTTAACTTTTCATAAGTGGTTTAGCATTTTTAGAGGTTGTAAGACGTGATTGTGTGACTGTTGACAACTGCTGTAAATTGTCTTGAACAGTACATTGCAAACAAGTGTCTTAGTTTAAAAACATGTAAAGACAGTCTCAGCAATGATGTGAGACTCCTCAAATAATTGTTTTTCAATTAACATTTCATCTGTGTGGATCTGAAATTCCTGTAAATTTTCTATATTTTTTCCCATAATCCTATAAATCTCCTGTATTCATGCTGCTTTCCTCCTATTTGTTCCCATAAATTATTTTGGAAAATGTCCGGGATGTACATGGATATGAGAAGTGAACCACTGGGGTTCTCTTCAGAGAAGAGATCGTGATAACGCTCCTTTTTGGAAGAGAATGTAAATGTTATTTCTATATTACTATATAATGTGTAGTTCCATTTGTCACTAAAAGTTCTTCATTCTTTGAGTCGCATAGCCTATACAGTGAACATAGAGAGCAGAGCATGAGTCAAGTGGTCACTTACAAGAGCTTGAAAATGGTGGAAAATTATAGAACCATAACCACAAAAAGTGACCGTGGTCGCTTACCAGAGGTTGTCCTTTATGAGAGGTTCCAACTATATTAATAAGGCTTTGACTGAAAAGCTTTTGGTGTATTTTTGGACAGATGGTCATTATTGGAGGTGGTTACAGATACAGCAGAAGCTTGACTGTACACATCTCGCAAATTTTCCATCTTTGTTTGCCAGCAGTAAAATGTTAGCAACATTTTAGATTTATGTGGTTTAATGTTCTTCAGTATGACGTACAAAAAACACCTATGGACTATCATTGATGTTAGGTGCACAACTTTGTTCTGAATGAACAGGTATTGTCAGCTGACAGTCATTGTTGGATATTTCAGCGTAATAATACACCTGTGTTACCATAACAGGAGTTGTAGTTTTTTAGAGATGCACATGGCAGTTGGCATTGGTAACTATCATTGTCTGTGTTTGTTTGTAGGGTGAAGACAGTTGGCTGCACTGCACATTATGCCGTTCAGGAAGACAGGGAGTGTCCACTCTAAATAAGGCTTTGTTGAGGAAGGTTGAATGGCCAAGTCAAACAAGCACTATGCTCCATTCCTCACAGGTAGATCCAGAAACGAATCAGATAGAACAATATAATGTTAATGAATACTAGTAGACCTTTTTGCTTATATGTTTTGTTTTCCCAATTGGCCATTTTCATGATGATGACATTATTGACTACAACTACCAAACTACAAATGATGTAGAGTTTTACTTTAATAGATTTGTTTTTAATGACATCACCAAAACAAAAAATAATAATGCACCAAAACTATGAAACAGAGACCATGTTGATGTACCTACAACATCCTGTGGGGATAAAAACTTTCTTATGTAAAAAATTTCTTTTGTGTCAAGAAATATGTTAAACTGCTGACCACGTCAAGGTAATCAAAAAGCAAATTAACTTTTTTCCTGACTTGGCTATGATTTTTCTGTCAGGAAAGATTTTTTCCAAATATTTGTGAGCTTTTAAACTCAGGGCGCAGCTTATGTTTGAGTATGTATATCTGCAGTTGTTTATGTTTATGTGTTTAGTAAATGTATGATTGAAAACAAACAAACAAACAAATTCCTTTAGGTTATTGTAAATGCAGCTTACAAACAGTCTTGTTTCTTATTATTATTATTGTTATTATTTAGGAACCTCAAGTACACACTACAATAGAAGATGCCTTTGACACTGTGTTGCAGTACATGAATGTTACAAGTAGACAGTGTAAGGTAATGATTTATAAAGTGGGGTGGAATAAAGTTTCTGTGTTGTTATATAAAGTGGCTTTCAACTGTTTAGATACTTGCAGGGAATGGGAGCAGACAGACACCTGGTACTGGATCATTATTGCAGTTGTGAGTTTCGTCAACTGAGTTGATAAAGTAAAAGGCCACCAAAAAGGGACTCAAGAGCTGATGTTTAGAGCAGATCAAATCAAACGTGTTGTAAATTTAAAATGGTCCTAATTCCTTGTTATTTTGTTCACTAGCGTTATTTCAGCTGTAGATCAAAGGACCAATGTAATAGCCAAGACACAGTTCACTGTGATAGATTCCATCAGCCAGATTACAACATGGTTACTCGCCGACACCCAGTAAGTTACCATCACATATATTTGAGGGCAGTTCTATAATTTGTAGGTCCCATCAACACAACCAAAACATGTTTAGTTTAATCACGTGAAACTATGGTCAAAATATAGAACTTTCCACATTTGCCTTCAAATTACTCCTACTTTTCAGGTTTTGTATTTCTGTACTGTAACAATATAGTTTTATTTCAACTTTTCATACCGACATTTTTCGGGTGTGTTGGACTTATTGCTGTTTGAGGAGCCCAAGCAATCTCTGCAAAGAAGGCTCCTGTGTGATACTTAATTGCAAAAATTTAGTCACTCCATTTAAGCAAACTCCATGGTTAACTAATAGTATTATTATAGTCACACATCGGTTTCCATAAAATTTTTTTGATTGGTGTTGACTTTGGGATGGAAAGGAACTTTTGGGTTGGAGCAATTGAACAAGGTATATTTCATTGTTGTGGTTTGATTCATGCTGGAATTTTTTCCATACAACCTTAAAAGTTCTAACAGTTGAAGCTTTTTGGATGAACTATGTGGTTTTACCTATTTTGACTCAGTTAAAAACATAACTTTTGAATTAATAGTATTATTAATTGAAAAGAATAAGAAAAACTTAATTTCCAGAAACCCAGATTAGACCAATGAAAAAATAGTTCCAATAAGATAATAATAATAAATGCCCATCTGCAAATTTAACTTTCAGAAAAAAAGGCCTCACAGTAGATTAACATCCACTGAGAAATAAATGAGCTTCAATTCAGATTCATCTTTCTCCTACATGTGAATTGCTGATTTGTGATCTCTTTTGATAGCTCCAGCGACTGGAGGATGTTCAAGTGGAAGTAGCACCTGGCAGTTATGCAATTACCGCTGGTCGTTATGGTGCACCAAGACAACACACCCACATTGTCCGTTTGGAGCCAGGACAAACTGTGGACCTTGGATTTTCATTATAAAACTAACAGAGACATGGACTTAACTACAAGTGACTGATGATTGAGAACTAATGTATTTGTAGATAGTTTATAGAAATGATGTTAAGTAACCCGATTGAGGGTAGTTGATTAGATTTTTAAGTGGACACTTGTAGCTTGGGTGGTTTGTTAGCCCATTTTTGATCACACAATAACCTCAAAGAAATTTTTCCTCTGTTTGAGAGAAACAGTTTGAATAATGCAACTTTGGTTTAACTTTGAAAAGAAAGAAAAATGTTTTCATCTTTCTGTACGTGTTTGTTAATAATTTTGATTAGCCAATTAAAAAGATCTAAACATGGGTTTGTTGTTTTTCTTCTATGGAAAACCCTTTCAGCAATCTTTTTTCAAATGGGAGTATATTGCATATTCACTGAACCAACCAGAAAGCAGCGTGCATTTTAGCCTGTTCTGTAAACCAATCAAATTCTAATAATCTTGCTTATTTGTTGGTTAAGTTTTTTGTTATGCATAATCATTTTAAGGTCATGCGAATTTCTCTTCAGCATCAGATGCTGATAGTTTGAAATGGGCAACAAACAACCCAAACTTAGGTAATCAACATTCATTATGTTTTACTATTTGAGCTTTAATGCCTTGCAATGGGCTAGTGTCGAAATATAAAAATTCGTACTTTGCTCCGCCGAGGGGTGTAGAACAAAAGGAATTGCATTGAGATTCAGGGATTAGTAATTCATTTCTTTTGTTTTATTCTCCTCAGCCTCGGATCCAAGTATGAATTCTGAGAATTCGAAACTGTTCAATAGAGAGGAGAAGTCGTTACGTTACCTTACCATAGTAGCAAATTTCTGGATGACAGCAAACCGAAAACGGCACTTGAAAGTAAATTCGCACTTTTTCAAACTTCATTGATCTTATTCAACGTCATTTATTAAATTTGTCAAATATTGGCGAAATTTGGGGTTGAACCCGAAAGGACTGTATCTAAGTTTAGAAAAAGAAAAAGAAAATTTTTGTGTTGTGTTCACGTACGGGCGCGTGAAATTAGGACGTTTCATGTCGCAGTCGTGCGACGACGGCTAAGAAATGTACAAAAAAGCGTGATGCACGTGCAAAATAATTTCGCCGTTCTCGTTGCCGTCGCCATCGTTGTTGCGCTAGCTCCCTCTTGTTGTGATCCCAAAATTTTGCTACCATGGTAACGTGACGTCACTCTTCTCTGTATTTCATAATGTCTCCACCCACCTGGATACCTTCAGAACCTCTAGTATTTGGTATTTTACACCATATTTTACCTAAGAAAAACCAAAGAAATCCTCTTTTTTACTGGCTTATATTAATCTATGTGATCACAACAGTATTTGTCTTTCTATTCACTGATAATTCTGACATTTTTAAAGAAAAACTAGGGTGATGAAGAGAATTGATCGGATATAGATTTAGCAAAATTGTGAAGTTTCATCGAGATCTGTTTCAAATTGAGGTAAAAAGAATAAGATTTAGTTTTTTTTTAAAGAAATGTAGGACAGAGACGTTTCCATACCGCAGACATGGTACATTTCTAAGAAAACCATTAGTTTTTTTGTACCTTTGTAAGCACGGTTCGAGCTTGTCAGTTGCTTAATTGAAAAAAAAAGACAAATTTCATGGAAACCTTATAATAATTTATAAATGCCACATTAACAGCATGAAGAGTAATATAATTGCTCTTATTCATTAAATCTTGAATAATTTAGTTTACATATGTCTTCGATTTTTCAATAAAATGCTGAAAATGGACGGCATTGAGTACTATTTTTTATGTGACCATAGACGGGCCTGAGTACCTCCTGTTTTAAAGGACACTAGAACGTGGAACAATTTTGGTTGGCTTTTATCAGAGTAAGTTTTTTTCCAATCTATTTTTTCATACCACAAAGCTTTTAATTATCATCTCGCTCACTCGACCAAATTTTATACGGGGAGGCTGCGCCCCCAAGTCCAGCCTCTTACCCTTTTATATACTTTTTAACGGAAAAGGGACCTCTTTCGTATACCTTTTATTGACAAATACATGGTAGCCCTTTCATACACTTGGGAGGTGTGCTAAGCACTCAAGAGGCTTGAGTTGCTCTTAGCTTCGCCTTGAGCAACTCTTACGCTTCTTTCGTGCCTAGCAACCTCCAGCGTGCATCCATAGCTCGATGGTTGCATGCTGCACGTTTACCATTTCTTATTTTAGAATGCTGGATTGCTTATGACTGCAGAAAGTGCACCGTTTTTTAAATATGGTTAATCGCTAGAGTTTTCTTGTCTTTTTCAAAGCCATAAAATGCGCCTGTTAGCCCGTTTAGGTTTTTTCACACACCGCAATGACAGATTTCCGCCCCCGAGCATCTAAGAGCCGGCTATTTAAATTGGGCACGGGACAGCATGCACGTAGCCAACTTCGTACGCGTTCTTGTGACTTTAATGTTCATCTAAGTTTCCACAGCCTCCCACTCACCATGAACACGTCCCTGTACTATGATGTTCGTAACACTGCAGCCGAGGAACTTCAGCTTTCGCTTGGCGCAATTTGAATGAAAGGTTTCTGTACACCTACTCAGTCTTGCACCTGCTTTTTCACTCTTTTTACTGATTATAAGCGAATGCGTAGCACAGTATAGGGGGGCTATACATGTATGCGCGCACGCCGTGATTATGCAAAGTCACGCTTGAAAACCTGCATTTCCAATCTTGCAATCTTATATTTTCCCTGGCAACAACATGTTTGTCACGCAACATTGATTTGAAAGTCAATTTGAATACGATGTCTGACATTTTTCTGCAACCGATGAGTTTGCGGTTCATTTAACCCACCTTATACAGCCTTCGATGGGAACATTCGCCTAAAGTTCTGTAGGTAGGGTAATTGCAGGTTGGTGCATAAGTGTATGAAATCTGTGCTTGAAATAAGACACTGCTCTTCACTGTTCATTTGAAAAGTAACTTCAGAGTCACCTTTAGATCGACAATAACCAAAACATAACTAACAGGAAAATAGTGTGTCATACTGGTTCAAAATTTTCCGTTTTATTAAACCTAATTTGGAAATAACCCATGTACGTCGAGAGATTTTCCTGCAGCATTTACTCAAAGTCATTAAATAATAAGCTGTATGGATTCACGAAAAAGCGCAACATTTCTCCAGCTTTGACATAGGTCCACATCGACTTTCCGGATGACAATTTTATTCGAAAAGTATCACCTTAAATACCCACGACTTGCTCACTTCAGGCCTCTTTAAGGATAGTCGGTGTAGAGCAGCGGTCGATCTAATGCCAAGATCGTGAGTTCAAATCCCACCGAGGTCCTCGAAGTCCTCGTGTGGTCCAGTCCACTGAGACGAACGCTTAGTGGACGTGTTTATGGGTTATATGTAGCACATAAATTTTATCTTCAACATTCATTCAAAAGGTGGTCAATTAAATAGCTCTTATTGGCACGAAACAGGAAAATTTCTTTGAAGGAACTTACGTCTCCAAGTAACTGTGTTCAGAGCCGGAATCATCGTGGAAAGTTTTGATTTGAAAGTTTAATTCAAATTATAATATTTGAATAACAACAACCAATAACACATAGCATCAGTTGCTTCGGGGTTAAGTCCATTGTGTTGCTTTGTGTCAGCTATTTGAAATCACCGGGATTTTATTATGTCTGTGTCAATTACCACAGAATATTTTAACAGCAGGGATCTATTTGCCGGCTAAACCTTTTGCCGGAATCCGACAATTTTTTAAAAGTTTACGATCATATCAGCCTTACCCAAACTATTATTTTTCTGATAATTTGAGTTTCAGCAGATCAGTTAATACGGAAGTGAAATTTCTGCAATGATCTAGAAATCACAGAAGGTAAACAGGGACCAGGGTTTTTTGTTGTCTTTCAAATAAAACGTCCTTGAACTGAAATATGTCTTTTCATTTCAGATTATGGCTAAAACAGTAATTAAAAGCAGGTCGACGCCATCCTTGAAGAACCCTAAAGTGGCCGCCGAAGACAATGGACCACAATTGAATTCGAAAAGAAGCGGGGGACTTCTCACGGAAAATGCTGGTAGACAAGGAACGCTTCAAACGAACGCTTTCCAGCGAAAACGCAAAATTGAGTTGTTTATTGAGTGCACGGATCTTGTACAGCTTGATACGTTCTCTAGAAGTGACCCCATGTGTGTGCTGTATGTGAAACGACTAGGCCAGTGGATGGAATACGGTAGAACGGAGTCAATACCAAATAACCTTCACCCTAAGGTACGCTGATCATCTACGGTCCATCCCATTACTGGCACCCGGTGGCTATGGGGCGGTTGTAAAGGGAACTGGCCATTTGTAGATGCTCAACTATATCAGCTTTAAATTTGTAGTTACTTTGTAGTACATTAGCTAGACCTTTTTGCGTTTAAGTACCCAGCTTAATGACCTTAAGAAAAGACTGTGTGTTATTGGGGAAATAGTTGCCGCGGTTAAAGCGAATTCCTCCCATTTTTCGGTCAAGTTTCTCAACATAGGATCGCTTCATAAAATAACCTCCTGTTTCCTTTTTGTCCGTGAATTTGAACAATTATTTTAGTGAGGAAATATTAACTATTATTTACCTCATATAATAATAGCTCACCATCTGTGAATTTTTTTCTTTTTAATACTCCTGTGTGACTTAACTTTTTGCTAATGACCTCTCTGTTCAAATTCCTGTTAACAAAAATTGTTATAAAGAAGGTCTTTTAGTTTTCTAACAGGTTTATTCGGTCTCAAAGGTAACAGATGCAAGTTGAAAATTATTTAAATCGACCATGTAAACATTGAATGGCAATGTTGAGTCTCTTTTTATGCAACTATTTAGTTTTGTCTTTTTTTTTTTTTCTAGTGTCTGTCAATATAAACGATAATGATAAATCATTATCAAAATAATCAACCACACTGGCCCTTTATTTTTCGATGCTTCTAGAATTAATTATTTCAAGCAATGCCGGCTGAGCTTATGTCACTATTCATGACGCTAAATCAAAAGAAAGCTAGAAAATGAAATTGATGTTAATCCGAGACTCGGCCGTAAATAATTCTCGACATTTTTAATTTGAAATATTAAAATCGGTCTGTGAATTGAAAATATACGTTGACTCCAATGCAAGGTGTGCGCGGAGCTAATTATGATTCAAAACTGTAAACGAAAGGGGAGGATTAAACTGTTGGTGAATTCATGGCTTTTTAAACCGCTGTTAGCCGTACAATTTCAACTTCAAGCAGCCTTTAATTTTTATTCATTTCTTTCAATTTCTATTTTGTTTTACTTTTAAGTATTCATTTCATCAAATCAATATGTGAGGTGAAAATGCAGCTTTCACTCTGCATGATTTTACATTGATATGGTTCGTGATCAGTCTGGTTCGTGATTGAAGCTAGAAGGTCGCGCCATTTTATCTACTGCCGATTTAAAAGCTGTCACGAACCGCAATATTTGGTGATAGTGATTTTTTATAGCAGTGCTGTAAAGATGTCATTGGAGAGAAAACCGTGCTCTTTGGAACGTTTGGAACACAAAAGTTTCAATTCTTCGTCGCATTCGTAAACTTATACCCTCAGATATTATGATTAAACTGTACAAAGCATTTATTCTGCCTCACTTTGAATACGCATCACCATTGTTCATAGGTCTAAGTAAAGGTTTGTCTGCAAAACTAGAGTCAACCAACGCATTTGCTCTTAGGACTCTTCTTAACTACTCCAAGTCGACTGCTTATGAAGAGCTACTTAAAACTGTACATATCAAAAGCTTGGAACATCGACGCATAGAACAAGCACTGATACTTGTATACAATAGCATTTATAACCAGGCACCGAACTACATTCGGGAAATGTTTTTACTACGAAGCAATGGTTACAGCCTACGGGGCCATCTTAAGGTTGTTCTTCCAAGACCGACCTCATCTTATATGCACCATTCTTTCACGTACCAGGCTGACAAACAATGGAACAGTCTACCAGACAAAATAAGGATGTCGGAGTCCCTCTCTATCTTTAGGAAAAACTTACAAAACATACAGTTGTCTTCATCGTATGACTGCAACTGTGAATTTTGTAAATAGACAATCTGATTACCAATATTTTCTCTTTTTAAATTATTATTATTTTTTAGTTGGTTTAATTTTTCTATTTCTTATTTTTATTCATTACTTGTACATGTAGATTATGTAAATTATCACGTTGTAATTTTTATGGCACATTTGCATTTAAACGAGCTATCGCTCATATGCGATATGTGGTTAAATAAAATTACTTACTTACTTACTTACTTTAAACGTCGACCTTCACAGTGTTCCGAATATAATGCTAATGAGGAAAATCTATTGTTCTGTCTCGCTCATTTGCATCGGATTCAGCAAATGTAGCGGGCATTAGGTTATGTCAGGAGCCCATAACCCGGAGCGTTCAACTGCCATAAATTCGTGCAACGGCGTTTTTACAAGTGCGTTTATTTTTAGATAAGCTTTTCCCGCGAAAAATAACTGTTCCACGAGGTCAATTCCTCCATTTGATCGTCGTTTAGACTGTTAGTAGCTCGCTTGGACCTTTTCACAGTCGGCTATTTCGAAGATGATTTCGATTTAATTCCCTTTACATGAATTATGTGTTGTCGCCGATGAAGTAGACGTCCTGGCTAGGCTTTGCAAATCTTGCTCTTGACTGCTAGTTTCCGTGTAAATACTGAAATTGTCGCTTGAAGCACTGTCAGAAGACTCCTCTGAAGATTCCTCACGTGTGTCCGCCATGTTTTTTGCTCCGGGTTATGGGCTCCTGGATATGTTCACATTATACCAGGTGGCTTTTACGCCGGCAAGCAAACCATACCTGATAGAGCTTCTGTTCACACATAAGAACGGTGATTTCGGCGCGATTTCTGTAACGGAGCGAAGCGGCGCCATGGCGATCTTTAAAGTGGAGAGTCACATGTGGGTTAGGCGTTCACACTATTCGCGGTAGCCAAAAAAGGGCTAGACTGCTAGCAGCCTCTCTTTTTCTTCAGATTTAGTAAGGAAGTGCACGCGCGCGCGAGCGTTGGGCGGCGAAGCCGCAAGACGCGAGAAACGAGGGCGTCAGCCCGAGAAGAGGTTGTCGTGCCTCTCCCGTCTCGCGCCTTCAGTCACGCGCGTGGTCATTTGGGTGTCTTGGACGTTTTGCTCGACGGACCAAGAAAAAAGAGAGACTGCTCGTAGTCTAAAAAAGGGCTTTCGTGTTGTTACAAACATCTTGGATTATACAACTGCCAAATTTTAAGCACATTGTCATGTGATGAAAAGAATTGTTATTGCTGCATCCTTGTATAAAAACCGTAAGTACAGCAGGTCTGCACATCAGCGCGAATATTGAATCACGGAAAGAAAACTTGACGCACTGAATACAGACTGAGCAGCACAAAAGGTTTTAATAAGCATTTTATACTAAATGGTAACTTCATAAAATTGAAATAAATAATTATTACTTTTTTTCAGTTCATAGAGACGTTTATCATTGAAGCTAACACGACGTTATATCCAAGACTTCGCTTTTCAGTTTTTGATCTGGCAAACTTCACCTCCAAAGACCTTCGTAAACACGACTTTATTGGCTGCCTAGAAATTGAATTGGAAGCCATGTTGGAATGCGACAACGGATCAGCTATTAGAACGTTACGGCTTCCGGGAGATGTAAAATCGCGAGGTTATATACATGTGTACTGGGAAGATGTGAAGGAAAGCAGGACTAACGTTAAACTTCATTTTGGAGCCACGAATTTGTCAAAGAAAGGACTTTTAGGAAAGTGCGATTCATTTTTTGAAATTAATCGTCTGCTGTCCAAGCCTGATCACTTCCATCCTATCTACAGATCTGAAGTGGTCACAAGAACAGCCTGTCCAAAGTGAGTTAATTATATCAACCCTTTTTAAATAAATTTGATAAATTTGAATTCTCATTTGTTACCCCTATTCATTTCCCACAGAAGTAGTAGGGAGAAGATAATAAAATATCAAGCAAATTCATCTTGTGTGATCATGTCCGTAATTCTCATGACCACTCTGTTTTACAAAGCATTGATATTACAGGCAGAAATTTGATGCTGATCAATCTTAAGGCTTAAAGGGTTAATTGCGCACTACTGGATTGCAGGTATTTCTGCAAAGATCACGCTGGCTGGTCAGATCTCTTCAATTGAAATTTATACTGAAAGAATTAAGTTATCGTTGGTGGTTTTTGAGCTATCTCCTAAATAGTCCTTAAAGTGAGCCTTTTATAGTCAGTGTTTATGATGACGCTTCGCCCAATATCACGATAGGCCTAGACATAATTGAAGAGGAATTTTCTTCTCGTACAATCTTATAACGTCGGAACGGCGGAGTAAAGTCGACGTAGAGTGTTTAGTGCTTGATGCGTCTGAAAGGTTGGGGGAAGCGATCCAAACATTTTTGATAGGGGGGCTAAAAAATGCTTCGAGGTTGAAACTATTTTCCCTAGAAGATCTTTTCTTGCGAACT